CACCTTACTATAAGCGTCTCCCATAGACATGTCTTCGTATCAAATTTCAAGTTCTTTTGACTTATGATTCCGAAGTTGTAGCTGATTAAACATTTGCAGTCCTATTGGAGGTGCCACGGCCCCTTGCAGAATTTACGATATATTTGCAAATAAAACCATACCTATAACCTTCCCGGGGTAAAAACAAATAAGTCTGCAAAGTTTCGTGCGATTCCATGTCGTGGTTCAAAAGTTATAAGGTAATAAACAAACAGACATTCACATTTATATATATGGATAGATAGAAGATAGATAAACATAAATCTGCCTCCTATCGTTCCGAACTAGCCTTAAATTTTATTTTAAAAAAAAAACTACCCATTGTTTTCTACTTTCTTTTTTGCCTGGATTGGCCCAAATTAAAGGGCTTCTTCTTTCGCTATCGATAGAAGACCTTCCAGAAGGGCTTTTATAGGATGTATTTCAGAAGGCCTTTGCAAGAGTTATTTTAAAGTCGCTTCTTTAATTCATAAAAATCATACATCATCTAGGTATGCCGTCAAACCAAGCCTAAATTGATTATTACAGAGCAATATTCTATTTATTTTTAATTATCTAATAGTTACCCTTTTAATTATAATAACAAAATTGCAACCCCAACGCAACTTTCGTTAGAATATGGACTTCAATTTATGTATTTATCATTGCCGTTCCACATGCAAAGCGAGAACACGCGTAAGTATATGAACTAGCTATATTGATATGTTCTCGTATGTACTTGCATTGCGTTGTTGATTGTGGTTCGATGTGGTTTTTCAGTTTTTTTTTTTTGTGTGGTCGCGAATAGTTTTCATTTTGTGTGAGCTGATATACATACATACATATGTATGCAGTATGTCAAGTGATTGTTGTGGGCCAATGTACGACCTTGTCGTCCGTCATCGCGCAACTAAGCAGCCATCAAGCCAACCGAGTACATAACATTAGCCTGTAAAGTAAAGCGTCAATAAATATCGCCACTGCTTTTCCACCAATTGTCGAAGGTTCTTTCAAATCATTCTGCTGCTCGGTAAACCTCCACCAGATTGTCTCAAATTTCATGCGAAGTATTTTTTTATTATTTAAGTCACTTCCACTGCAATCAAAATCTTATTGTAAACACATTTGTATGGAGCCTGCAGTGAAAAGTTATCAATTGATAAAAATAACCATCTTGTAGTTAACTCTTTTGCGGGATTTCGATCAGAACTTCACTTCATGCAGACGTAATCGGGACTTTGTTTTGTAGAGCTGGAAAACTATCGATACTATCGACACCAGCTACAAATTTTTTTTCCACAACAAAAAAGCTACAATTAATGCCGTTATAACATTTTCAATATCTCAATTCTATCGACTAGGTGTATGGTGTCAAGTTAGCACTACATACCATTTTTTCTTAAAAACGAGAGCTACAAATTTTTTCTTTCCACGACAAATTTACAACAAAAGCTACAATTAATGCCGTTATATCAATTTTCTGTCGCCCTTTTTCATTCGGAAAAGAATAGCTGAAATTTGACAATCACCAGCTAAAAGCAAAAACAAAATACAGGTAATTGTTGTATTTGTTGAATCGATACCACCTTATATGAATTCGCCTTGAACAAATTTACAAAAAAAAAAACCACAATTAATGCCGTTGTAACCTTTTCAATATCTCAATTCCGTCTTCAATGGTGCATGGTGTCAAGTTAGCACTACATACTAAATTTTGTTCGAAAAAGAGTCAACTCAATTTTTCCCAGAAAAACGAAAGCTACAAATTTTTTCTTTTCACAACAAATTTTAAAGTTAAAAGCTACAATTAATGGCATAGTAACATATTGGATATCTAAATTCTATCGACTAGGTGTATGGTGTCAAGTTAGCACTACATACCATTTTTTCTTAAAAAACGAGAGCTACAAATTTTTTCTTTCCACAACAAATTTACAACAAAAACACTACAATTAATAGCCCTGTTCGCGTACGCACTATCCAGTAAATCCAGTGCCAAGTTTACTGGTTTTTTACTGGATGTCGTTTTCGTACGCAAAAACTTGCAAGAAACTAGCAAAAGAGGGGAAATTGAGAGAGCAAAAATGACAGCTGAACTTGCAAGTTTTACTGGTTTTTTACTGGATAAATGTTTACTAGCAACTATTTGCTAGTAAGAAAAACAGCTGATGGCATGATGCTTTATGTAAATCACATTAAGAAAATAATTGTTTATGGTGCTTTTTGAGTTGCAATTGAAAAAATAAACCTATTTAAATATATAATAAGATGGAAAACACTAGTTTTCTAAGAAAATTGAATCGGAAAATAACAAATTGCTAGTTTTATGAACAGCTGATTAATTATTATTAAAATGATTAATAAGCATCATGCCATCAGCTGTTTTTCTTACTAGCAAATAGTTGCTAGTAAAAATTTATCCAGTAAAAATCCAGTAAAACTTGCAAGTTCAGCTGTCAATTTTGCTCTCTCAATTTCCCCTCTTTTGCTAGTTTCTTGCAAGTTTTTGCGTACGAAAACGACATCCAGTAAAAAACTATTAAACTTAGTACTGGATTTACTGGATAGTGCGTACGAGAACAGGGCTATTCTCTGCAAAAGGTGTTCCGCCCCCCCTTCTTTGGCAACACAGAAAGGAGAATTCTACTGCCTGAGGGTTATAATCCCTAAGTGCGGCCGAAGGCCGCCTACGCAGAAAGGTGCGGATTGTTATTGAAAGAACCTATTTTATAATTGGTTTTATATATGTATGTATATAAGCACATTTCCATGCAAATAATCAACTGAATTTTATTATTATACCAAATCTCTGAAACTTACCCTTTCCTGTTCGGTTGATGGAGTCATGCAGGCGGGACTAGGCTGAGCACTCATTATAATTTTCAGATTTTTTAATCGTTTCCACGTTGAAAAATTATTCACTGGAAGCGAGCTGTAAAAATTTGCAAACGAATAATTTGCTTAATTATTTGCTTTTCCCTTTTGCGATATATGCACATATGTATGTATGTATGCAGAGCAATCGGCTGAAAACGCGAAAATGTTCACAAATATGGCGGCGGCACCCGAATTGAAAGGAATTTTTTTCGTGATATATATATGCATGTATATCGCACGATTCAATTGATAAATTTTAATTAAATAAGTACCTAAAGCTGGAAATAGTGTTATATTTTGTGAAAATTGCTATTTTATTCGTTTATCGCTATATAAATGAGCTTTTTTATTCCAATGCTATCTTTTTCGACCACTTGCTTTATCGCACCTCGCAATCACGCCACATACACAGTGCCACAAAGCGACTTAACGAATATCTTCGATTTTCACAATGCCAAACTTACTTGTACTTATTCAATTTTCAATGTATGTATAACAATTATTTTATCAAAAGCTAATTTTTATACTACGCTTTCGTACCGAACTTTGTGAAAACACAGCAATTTATGAAGGCGAAAAAATCAGGTTCTCGTTTGCTACGCGACCAACACTTTGTGCCAGTAATGCCAACTCTAGCAGTCAAACTAGAGCTGGAAAACTATCGATAGCCCTATCGATGGTTTTTGACTATCGAAAACATCGATGGTTTTGTAAGCACTATCGATAGTTTTTACTCGTACATACATAACGGCCCGTCTCCACAGGCAAAAGTTTTTGCGTACCAACTGCCATTTTTATTGCCTGACATAAATTTTATCAGAGGCAATATTTGTGCGTGGGCATTTTTTATCTTGATAAAAGCATTTGCTAGATGGCTATTTTTACCGGATTTAATCACCTAAAAATTTAAAAAATACACTGTTTCACACCCAAATACATAATAACCAATATTTTCATAGAAAACAGCTCTATTTTTGCTTTTATATTAAAATTTCAATAATGTTGCCGCCACGAAGTTATCGCGCATATGGAAATGTAGCTGTCAAAGTACCAAATTGCTGGCAATATTTATCAAGATAAAAGCTGTGATAATTATTGCTTGCCAAGAGCAATATGCGATCTCCATTGGCAAAATTTTCCCTGATAACATTATCAAGATAAAAACTTTTGCCTGCGGAGACAGCAAGTAAAGATGCTGCTTGAATCCGAAAATCGTTGACACATTTTTTTTTTCATTAATAAAATATGGACGTATTTTAACAATTCTGATCTCTTTTTCAATAAAAGTTGTTATGTTTAATTTTTGGACTGTTTTAATCAAAACTATCGATAGTACTATCTATAGTGTCGACATTTTCGATAGTATCGATACTATCGATGGGTGTGACTATCGACTATCGAAACTATCGATGGCCACGACTATCGATAGTCTTCCAGCTCTAAGTCAAACTATCGACGATACTATCGATAGTATTGATAGTCTGGTCACTTGAAATAATTATCGATAGTTTTAGTACTATCGCCACTATCGTTTCATTGATAGAGTATCCTGTTGTTGTTGTTGTTGTTGTAGCGGCACTACTAAGCCCCGCTTTTTCCTGGTCTACGTTCAATCATTTTCGTCAAGCTCAACTAACGGGAGGCCCAGGAAACGAGCTGTTTCAATGGGTTCGGACCAGAGGGAGAGGGGTGTTAGCTGAGTCGGATTGAGCTGGCATGTAAAGAGGTGGTTGGTGTCGTGGGGGGATTCTCCACATGCCGGACACTCATTGGGGATATTGGGGTCGAGTCTGGACAGGTAGCTGTTGAGGCGGCTACAGTATCCAGACCGTAATTGAGCCAAGGTAACGCGGGGAACTCTTGGCAATTGCAGCTCCGTCTCTTCTACAGGTGGTGATTGGGCTCCTATTACTGCATTCATAGGTCGAGAGTCGAGGTAGGTGGTAACTAACTCTCTATGGATGTCGTTAATGGCTCGTCTGTATGTCATCGGGTCCAGTGGTTGGTCTACGTATTGTTGGACTGCGTCCTTGTATACGAATAGGTGCCCCCTGAAGTGCCTGGGCGGAGGCTCCTCCTGAAGCAAAGGTCTGTTTGGGTGTTCGCTTCTGTGACACCCCACCAGAGATTGCCTACAAAGCATTTTGTTGTGTTCCCTTACGGGGCGCACTTGGGCCTCGCTGTGTAGGTGGTGCTCAGGCGTCATCAGAAGGCACCCCGTCGCTGTCCGCAGTGCGGCGCTCTGACAAGTCTGTAGCTTCGTCCACTGCGTCCAAACTGGCGCAGCATAGTTTAGAACCGGCCGGCCAATTGCCATCAACGTTTCTTTGTCTTTGCCCAAGTGCTGCCGGCGAGCGACTTGAGGACCTTGTTGCCGCTCTGTACTTTATTGACAACTGCGGTTGTGTGCGTGGAGTAGGAGAGCAGGCTTTCGAAGGTGACCCCTAAAATTTTCGGGTTGTTTACAGTCGGTATTGGTGTGCCATCGACGTGTATACCTAATTCTAGCCTGACCTCCTTCGTCCAGGTGGTGAAGAGGGTCGCCGTTGATTTCGTTTGGGAGAGTGTTAGGTTCCTTGCAGTGAAGAAGCGAGAAAGGCTGGAGTGATAGTCGTTTACTTTTGGGCAGAGGTCATCAATTCCATTCCCGGACGCCAAAATCGAGCAATCGTCAGCGTATGAGATCAGGGAAACTCCCTCAGGTGGTTGAGGAAGCTTCGAGATGTAGAAGTTAAATAGTAAGGGGGAGAGGACACCACCTTTTGGAACCCCTTGTTTAATCCTTCTTGGTTTCGAGGTTTGATCTCGGAAGATTACTGACGACTGTCGACCACTCATATAATTCGCCGACCATCGCTTCAGTCCGTGTGGGAGTGAGGAGGCCTCTATGTCCTCTAGTAGCGTGGAATGGCAGACGGTGTCAAACTGCATCCTTTGACAAGTCCAACTCGGTGCATAACAAACTGGTGAAATTTTTTCGGATCGATGCGTAGCCACTGCAGGACCGTCTTAGAGTCGGTCCTCCAAAAACAAGACTGTACACTTATGCGAGGGACTTTCAGGATACTATTGGCAAGTCTAACTCCTGCCACAGCAGCTTGCAATTCCAATCTTGGAATCGAAATTGGCTTCAAGGGTGCCACTTTCGGTTCGCCGCGACAAAAGCAATATCAACGTTACTATCCCGCTGGATG